TTTGCCCCAATATTTCTTAATACTTATTTTTCTTTTTAAAAAAAAAATATTCCTCTCATCTCATGATTTATTTACCTCCCATGAAGTGCTACTTAGCTAATGGCACTAAACTCAATAGTAAACATTTTAACTTTCTGATGAACACAGCAATTCTGTCTTTGAAAATGATAGACACTACTATATTTGTCTTGAAAAAAAATAACACCCTGATGATGACAAGGTTCTAATATCGAAAGTACTTGGAATAAATAACATGTATCAACACGGTAATTTTCTCTCTTCCTTTAATAATGACATCAAAATATGAAAATATTCAGTTGAAAATAAGTAGACAAATCTTGTCTAAATTATTCAATGAAACATGTCACAATATATATATATATATATATATATATATATATATATATATATATATATATATATATATATATATATGTGTGTGTGTGTGTGTGTGTGTGTGTGTGTGTGTGTGATTAGCTCTCCTGTCACTTCCACAGCATGGGTGTTCCACAAAATGTCCCACCCTTCATACTCTGCTTGTATTTTTTTTTTATTTCGGTGACTTTTAATCCCAGCTTGAGACTCCCAAAACATTCCACCTTTAGGTTAAGGAACAGCTCCACTTGTTAAGATTGCAGATCTGTAGAGCGATGTTCTGCCTTGTCGTATCTAGTTATTTAGTGCGTGATCTCTTAAAGGCTGTAATGCCTTTTATGCACGCATTACTCTACTTAACACCACCAGGAGTTATTTCCTCAAAGGAATACAGTGTGATGTAAAAAGAATTTATTCTTTGCTTTAGTAGATCCTTGTTCCTCAACAGGGGTCTTCCTATTTTCCGAGAACCGTCATGGTGTTGGCTATACATGACAATTTTCAGTGTTCTTTTATTACTCATGCACATAACATGAACATCCTAGCAAAGTTTCTATTGCTTTAGAAATGTCTCCACGGCTTCAATTTCGTACTTTGAAAACAGATTTATATTAGATATTTTGTCTTACACATTAAAGTCACGGTTTGTGCGAAGGCACCACTTATGGAATACATCAAGCTCTCGAATATGATTCCGATAAGGGGTCCACAATTTGGAAACATAGAGGAGAGTTTTGACGACTACAGCTCAGTATATATTAAGCTTGGGGTTCTGGGAAATATATGTATATATGTAGTTTAAATATAGCATATTTAGACAGCAAGAATTCATTTAAGCAAGTTTTGAATAGATGTGCATGTAGATGAAAAACAAACTTGGATAAACTCATTTTGCTCAGTACTTATTCGATTATTTTCGGCTGTCCTAGTTGCCAGTATATTCACACAATTTAGTTGCCGCCTTCTTGGACAGATTGATCATTTGACTTATTTGTTACGTTTTGCCAAACGTTTGTAGGCTATTTAAAGCCAGAAAATATTTTTAGATTGTAAGAATTTTATGGGAGATAATAATGATTTCCTGGTATTGTAGCCGACCCAGTAGCATGCAGTTCTGGCCTACGGAAAGGTGGCCTTGTGCCAGACACTACTTACGACTACTGAATCCACTAACAAAGTAAAAATAATAAATGTGTGATCTTTAGTGAGGAAAAAGAATCATTTAATACGTGCATAAAAATAGTAAAATATAGATAGCCAGAAGGAAACGACAAAACGAGTCTGATGGAAAACAAACACGAAACTTTATTTTAATAGCAAATATTTGGTCTCAACAGTGCAGACTATCTGAAAAGGTAAGGACTGTTCTTAGCCAGTAGGCAGATTGTATTATGTAGTGACTAGTAGAATGTTAAAGTTCCGCGCCAAAGCAAAAATCAAAATGGCTAAGGCGGGAAAAGTTTCTTCAGAAGGAAAGTTCTGGAATGTAGTCTTCTTGTACAAACAGTGTAAGCATACACAACAAGGAAAAAATACTCACTGCGACGTTTAATAATGTATGTGTAATGTTACCTTTTTTTAAAAACTGGTTCGTAAAGGTTAGAATTCAAAAGAGGGGTATGAAAAGTTCATCTATCTTCAGTGACGAAAACTCTACGTCCCCTGGTAGTAAACGGAGGCAAGGTCGAACAAGTTGTTCGCATCAAGACGAGGAGTTAGTCTTGGAAAAGTATGATGACGACCGTGTCGTAGACTCTGGTAGAAAATAGAAGGAGGTTCGAACATGTTGTTCACTTCAAGACGAGGAATTAGTCTTGGAAAAGTGTGATAACGACAGTGTCGTAACTCTGCGTTTTCTAGTAGAAAAACGGAGGTAAGTTCAAACAAGTTGTTTGAAGAAAAGTTGTAATCACACGACATGTTGAAATTTTGGTTAGTTATGATATTCCGGCCCGCGTATAGGTTAGGGGCACGGAATAAATGAGTCAACCTTCTAGTTTGAAAATCAGGCGGCGACTAACTTGAAAAACGAAGTTTGTCAGTGACGTCAGAGAAATGCGCGGGGAAACTTCAAATTTTGATTCTAGCTGGAATCAGCAGTAGCCAGTAAGCAACCTCCTCACGTCGGCTGTTTTACTGCTATATCTAACCGAATATGAAAGGAAGGGGTGCAATACGCGCGCACGCGCGCAAATGGGTGGAATCCACGATTC